CCTTGAGGTTTTTAATTTTCTTTTTTCACTTGCTATATAGCAATTTTCTGAGATCCTGAAATATAGACAATTTTCTGAAATTCTGAAATACAGCCAGTTGTCTCAAATAAAAGTTCTTTGGATTTTTGAAAGCCTGTGGTTAATTTCCAGAATTCTGAGAAAGTTGGTTTTGACAGTGTTTAACCAGTTTTCTCATTGCTTTTATGGAGAAGTAGATTTTCAGAGGTCTTTACTCCACCAATCTCCTGCTGAGAGTAAGAGATTCTAAGTATTTTATTCTATTCTAAGTATTTTATTCATTTTGATGTTATTATGAATGGAATTGTTTTCTTAATTTCATCTTTGGATTGTTCATTGCAAGTGCATAGGAACACAACTGATTTTTGTATATTGATCTACTATTCTGTAACCTACTGAACTTGTTTATTAGTTCTAAGAGTTCTTTATTGGATTCCCTAAGATTTCAACATACAAGATCATGTCATCGGTGTTAGGTTTACTTAGAGTAGGAAACCAAAAAATATCATAAAGCCTGTGAAACAAAAGCCACAGGAGTCTGGAGAGTCCGAGGTTGTAAGTCTAACTTCGACCACAGGCAGCTGCAGCTACGCTGGGATTCCTATCCCCCTTGATAAGGACAAAGCTATCCCCTTCCCTATCTCTGTAGGTGTTGCTCACTCCCCGGGAAAAAACCTCTATAAAACCCAAGGCTTTCCCTTCCCCTCATGGTGGACACTTTTTCACCTCCACTCAACTGCACTGAGATGCTCAAAATAAACAGCATTTTGCTACACATAAGCCTTTGTGTGCCTCTCTCTTGGCTCTGGACCTAACAATTGGCAAACAGAGATAGTTTTAATTTTTCCGTTCAAGAATAGGAATTTTCTAGATGCGTTTTATACCTTTTTCTGCTCTCATTTCCCTGGCTAGAACCTCTAGTCCAATGTTGAACTGAAGTAGCAAGAGCAGACACCCCTGTCTCATTCCTGATCTTGGGGTAAAGCTTTCAGCCTTACGCCATTACGACGTTAGCTGTGTGTTGTGGACATCCCTCGTCGGGGTGAGTGAGCCAACATCTTATGTCTTGCCTCCCTGACAAGTGCAGTGCCACTGCCTTCACCTAAGTCACACATGCCTCGTTTCTCCTGGAGGATGCAGAGAAGAGACCTTGAAGTAGAAAGAAGTACTCCTTCCCCTTCTGCTTGTTCTTTACCTGTCTCTAATCCAGAACAGACTGCATGGCTTTGTTCCTGTTTCTGCCTGTCAACTAGCCTCCCAGCCTCCAGTCTCCATGGTGGTCCACCCTCAACAACACCAATTACATTTTTTCCATTCCTCAATGCTGTTAAGAAGGAAAATTAATTACATCATTCTCCTTAAAACCTGCTACGGAATTCCCATTGCCTGCAAGATAGAGCACGCACCTTAGTCTGGACCCCAGCCTTGCCCCTCTAGCTGCCTCTTATGCTTACCTACAGGTACCAACCACAGTGGATGACCGCACGCCCCCAGAAGCAGCCATTCTCCTCCATTTCCATGTCTTTGCATACACTGTTTCCTTCCAAAGTACATTTTTATAGCTAATAAAATGTGGCTTAGATCCCCCTGTGTTGAAGGCTCTCTGAGGTACTCTCGTGGCTCCCATAGCACTCTCTTCAAACATCTGACAGCTCTTTGATTACTAGAATTCTGCAGACATACCATGCCGACTAGGCTATGGAAGGGCCACTCAATGTTCATGACTGGCTATTAAGATCTAGATCCAAGTGCCAAACATCCTGTAGTCCTTAAGTATCTGGTGACTGGATTAGCACCAGGAATGAAAAACAGGAGGATAGAAAGATATTACTTTCATTATAAAAGGACATGAGTCAGTAACATTCCCTTAAGTCCTTACAATAGAGCCTAAAGAATACTTCTCATAAATCTATAAGTTCCAAGTTACTCTATAAAATTCCTCAATAATTCACTTCTCAAAACTGTGCCAGAAATAGCTTCCAGAAAGAACATCAGTAACCTAAGAGAATACAGTCGTTAACAGGCCAAACTGAATAAAGATTATTTGATCCTGAGTTCACATTTCTTTGTAATCTCTATTTCTTTCAGTTCCAGGCCTACTTCTTCTGTCTGACACCTGTACTAACCTCAAATGACTTAACCATTCCACTCTAACATCAGGCTTCTAAGTTACATCAGACCAGCCTGCGGGCGGCCAAGGCTTACCTGAGCCGAGATGCCAATGAGCAGCAGCCACTTTTGGTTCTTGTCGGTCTGATAGTGAATCATCTGGTAACCTGCTAGGCTGGCGTGTCTGTCAAACATCTTCACGGGCTGGGAGTCACCCTCCATGCTCCAGTGGTAGACTGTGGTCTCAGTCACCAAGGCAACAGTGTTCACAGAAACCCATTTCCAGAATATCACCTCTTCTGCCATAGTGTGAGCCTTCATTTTACTCTTCATCTCAATGTTAAAGATTTGAAGTGTCTTCCCAACTAGAGAAAGATAAATTAAAAATCTGAAACACAAGATCTTAATCTCTTAATTCTGAATCCTTTTATTATTACTTTAAGTTGTACTACTTAAAGCTAATCTGATGAACAGGGGAAAAGCCGCTTGAGCAGTAATTAACCACACTTCAACGTCTACGTGTTGAGAAAAGCCTCGTATGCATCAGATGCTTCCTCAGCACAATGTAAAAATGTGTGAATATTTATAGAATTTATGAACAACAATCAGAAATTAGTTCTACTGAAGCAAGTCTCAAGAAAAACCGTTTTAGATTAGTTTCTTCTTAGTTTAAAATACTTTTCGGGATAAGTCAGCAAAAACATAAGACATCTTTTCTCTTTGTGATGTCTCCAGCTTTCAGGAGAGACAAAATCATCCCTTCACATTAAACCAACTTCTCCATATAACAGAGTTACTTGGTATTAAATTCTAGATCAGTGCCATCAAACAGAATTTTCTGCAATGTTGGAAATATTCTATATTAGCATCCATTACAGTAGACACCAGCTATATGTGGCCATTAAGAATTTAAAATATATCTAGCAAGACATTTCAGAAACTGAACTTTTACTTTTATCTAAGTTTAATTAATTTAAATTTAAACAGCACCACATGGCTAATATCCAGTAGAACAGCACAATTCTAGACGAAAGGCTTTGGCATCCATCCTCTGGCAAGAGACCCATATTGTTTCCACCAGAAGCAAGAAGCTGAGTTCTGATTTTAGAATCTATGCAAAACTTAGAGCTAACATGAAATATTAACATATTGTTTCCCACTAAGATGGGGAACAAGGCAAAGATTGTTTCTCAGACACTTCTTTTTGACACTACACTGGATAACACAGCTATTGTGAGAAGGCAAGAAAAGTAAAAGGCATTAGGTTCAAAAAAAGAAGTAAATCTGTCTTTATTCACAAACAACATAATTATTTACAAAGAAAATCTTAAGAAATCTACGAATCTAAAAAACAGCGATTAGAACTAATAGGTGACTATAGCAATGCTGCAGGACACAAAGTCAATACACAAATAAATTAATTTTGAGATGCTAGCAGCAATTTGGAAATAAAATATAAAAAAGAATTTATAACACCACCAGAAACATTTAGAAATAAATATACACAAGATAAGTTAGTCTCTACACCATAAATTATAAAACACGCCTGAAGGAAATTAAAGGCCTAAATAAAAGAAGAGGCATACCATGTTCATAGATCAGAATACTTAAGATCACTAAGATGTCATTTTCCTCAAAGTGAGCTATAGGTTCAATGCAATACCAATCAAAATCCTAGCATCTTTTCTTCTGGTAGAAAATAAACTGATGATAAAATGAATATGGAAATGCAAAGGACAGAGAATAGCCATAACAATTTTGGAAAACAGCAAGGTTGGAAGACTTATAATACCTGACTTCAAGACATTATAAAGCTATAGAATCTGTGTTATCATCATAAGGATAGATATACAGATTAATAAAACAGAAGAGAGTCCAGAAATAGCTACATGCACTTATGATCAAATGATTTGATAAAAGTGCCCCAAAAAACTCAATAGGCCCAAACACATTTTTATAGAAATAGAAAAATCCATCCTAAAATTCATATGGAATCCCAGAGGATCTCACTAGACAAAATAATCTTGACAAAGATGAATAAATTGGAGATCTCATATTACCTGATTTTAAAACTTACTACAAAGCTATAGTAAGCAAAACAGCATGGTAATGGCAGAAAGACATACAGATCAATGGAACAGAATAGAGAATCCATGAATAAACCCTCACAGATATAATCAAATGATTTTTGACAAGGGTGCCAAGACCATTCAATGGGGAAAAGAATACTCTTTAACAAATGATGCTGGAGAAACTGGATAGCTACCTGCGAAAGAATGAAACTGAACCCTTACCTTACATCATAGACAAAAGTTAATTCAAAATGGATGAAAGACTTACACATAAAAATTAAAACTATAGAACAGGGGAAAAGCTTCATGACACTGGATTTGGCAATGACTTTCTTTGGATATGACAACAAAAGCATAGGCAACAAAAGCAAAACAATAAACAAAAGGGACCACATCAAAGGACACAAAAGAGTGAAAAGGTAACTCACAGAACGGGAGAAGATACAGGCATACCTCGCTTTATTGCGTGTTGCAGAATGCATTTTTTTTTTTTACAAACTGAAGGTTTGTGGGCACCCCAGCATCAAGCAAGTCTATTGGCATCATTTTGCCAACAGCATGTATTCACATCATGTCTCAGTGACATTTTGTTAATTCTCACAGTATTTCAAACTTTTTCATTATATCTGTTACGCTGATCTGTGATCACTGACCTTTCATGTTACTATTGTTGTTTTAGGGCACCACAAACCACACTCACATAAGACAGTGAACACAATCGATAAATGTTGTACGTGTGATCTGACTTCTCCACCAACTGGCCATTGACCCATTCCCCTCCCTCTCCTGGGGCCTCTCTACTCCCTGAGACACAACAGTATTGAAATTAGGCCAATTAATAACCCTACAATAGCCTCTAAGTGTTCAAGTGAAAGGAACAGTCACATGTCCCTCACTTTAAATCAAAAGCTAGAGATGATTAGGCTTAGTGAGGAAGGCATGTCAAAAGTTGAGATAGGCTAAAAGCTGGGCTTCTTGCTGCAAATAGCCAAGTTGTGAATGCAAAGGAAAAGTTCTTGAAGGAAATTAAAAGTGCTACTCCTGTGAACATGAACACATGAATGATAAGAAAACAAAACAGCCTTACTGCTGATGTGGAGAAAAATTTCTAGAAAAGAGTCAC